ATATATATATATATATATATATATATATATATATATATATATATATATATATACACACACTACCATTCAAAAGTTTAGGATCAGTAGGACTTGTAATGTTTTTTAAAGAAGTCTCTTATACTCATCAAGGCTGCATTTGTTTGATCAAAAATACAGAAAAAAACAGTAATATTGCAAAATGTTATTACAATATAAAATAATGGTTTTTATTTGAAAATACTTTAAAATATAATTTATTCCTGTAATGCAAAGCTGAATTTTCATCAGCCATTACTCCAGTATAAAGTGTCACATGATCCTTCAGAAATTATTTTAATATGCTGATTTATTATTAGAATTATCAATGTTGGCAACATTTTTTGGGATTTTTTTGATAAATAAAAAGTTTAAAAGAACATAATTTATTCAAAATATAAATCTTTTCTAACAATATAAGTCTTTGCTACATCTCTTTTTATCAATTTAACATCCTTGCTGAGTAAAAGTTTTAATTTCTGTTAGAAAATATTTCTATTTTAATTAAATGCTGTTCTTTTTAACTTTTTATTCATCAAAGAATCCTGAAAAAAGTATCACAGGTTCCAAAAAAAATATTAAGCAGCACAACAGTTTCCAGCACTGATAATAAATCAGCATATTAGAATGATTTCTGAAGGATCATGTGACACTGAAGACTGGAGTAATGATGCTGAAAATTCAGCTTTGCATCACAGGAATAAATTAGTTTTTCCTGTAAAATAAATTAGAATAATTTAATGTATATTAAAATAGAAAACCATTATTTTACATCGTAATAATATTTCACAATATTAATTTTTTTTCTGTATTTTTAATCAAATAAATGCAGCCTTGATGAGCATGAGAAACTTCTTTAAATAACATTAAAAACCTTACTGATCCCAAACTTTTGAACGATAGTGTGTGTGTGTGTGCTGTACATATGTATATATATAGTTTATAATTGTTTTTATTTATTTATTTATTTTACTTTTTGCTTAGTTTTTTGAAAGAAAGGAAGGAAGGAAGGAAGAAAGAAAGAAAGAAAGAAAGAAAGAAAGAAAGAAAGAAAGAAAGAAAGATGCATTAGTAATGCATAGCAAAATGCATTTAAAGAAACACATTCACTTACACTTATTTGGATACTATCTGTCATAAATATTATCCAAGTTAAGAAAATTAATGGTCCCAAATAATACTAAAATAGTAAAAATACGATCAAATAAAATGCTTACCTTTTGAACTAATATTGTCCACAACCCCTCGCATTAGTTAGGTAATAATGAGTTAATGAATTCAGATGCAGACACTACCAGTGGGTGACAAGGGGGTTGTTGGCATAACTTACAATAAAGGCAAAATATGTATGATTTTTTTATTAAAATATCCAAAAACCACTAGAACAGTGTTATATATTTTGCTGACTTGTGTACTTACATTATCCCAAATGTTTCGAAGAATGTTTAAATCCAGAGAAATAAGCAATTTTAACTAGTGACACGGACCGTGTCTATAGTGTCATCGTGTCGCCTGCCAATGACGTCATAACCCCTCGATTTCCGTTTTGTAGAAAACATGGAAACACCAAAGACGCTTTAATATGTTGTGCGTTTTATTAGACCGGTGATGACCGCACAGAGTAGAATTATAACAGAACTTTCAAATGTATCTAGTATGATAAAACGGCGCTGCTTTACCCCACATACGCACGACCGGAGTGTGGTAACACTGGCTTTCATCTCTGTCCACTAGAGGACAAACTAACAAACCAATGATGCTCAGTTGAGAATTATATACTCATATAATCATAAAAAATGACAAGGTTTGACAATTTTATACATTTACAAACAGGTACAAATAGGAATGCACACTAACAAAAAGGTACCAAATTTGCACTACTATGCACCATGGTATTCTTTGACGTACCTTTGATATATAACAGTACCCCATGATTATTGCATTGTCAAAATATGTTTTTATATGGTTCTCATCATTGTACCAGGATGCAGCCACAGCACATTTTCTAAAAATGGCACATTGCAGTGATACATCAGAGAGCTTGCTCTCCCTGCAGGTTGGTGCCACCGATTTCTTTCATAAGCACTGAAAGAAGAAAAGTGGCAGTGTTGCCGACAAATGTTTGATAGAAGATTTACTCTAAAAGGAACTCCACATGAAGAGCAGACTTTTTACTGCTGCTTTTCAGGTAAGATCAAGGAAAGAGTGCATATCTCATCAGTGAGCAAGGTCATAGAGATTGTTTTCCCACAAAAGGATTTACCAATATTGTTTCAGTCACATCTCAGTAAGGAGATGAAGAATACCAGAAGGGTATATTAAAGGGAGATATTATTATTCTAGACACTGAAAAATACACTCCAGTATGCATTTTACAGTTGCATTCATACTTCCATGGTAGTATAGCTATACAGTATATGGTAGATGTATTATTAAACTAACATTATTTTAGTAACATAATATCTAAAAGATATTATGAAATTGACATTGTTATTGTTAGGACATTTTTCTATTTCAAATAAATGCTGTTCTTTTGAGCTTTCTATTGATCAAAAAATCCAGAAAACACACAAAAAACTAATATTACACTATTCTCATTATTAAAGGGTTAGTTCACCCAAAAATTAAAATTCTGTCATTAATTACTCACCTTCGTGGTGTTCCAAACCCGTAAGACCTCCATTCATCTTCGGAAAACAATTTAAGATATTTTTGATGAAATCTGAGGGCTCTCTGACCCTCCCATAGACAGCAAGGTAACTACCACATTCAAGGTTCAGAAAAGTACCAAGATGGTCGACAAAGTAGTCCGTGTGACCACTGTAAATCTACAAAGCTACGAGAATACTTTTTGCGCAAAGAAATTACTTTATTCCACATTTTCGTCATGATACTGTCGTGAACGCGCGTCCACAAGTAACGCAGTAGAGACAAAAATGTGGAATAAAGTCGTTATTTTTGTTTTCTTTGCGCAAAAAAGTATTCTCATAGCTTCGTAACTTTACAGTTGAACCCCTGATGTCACACGGACTACTGTCGATCATCTTGGTACTTTTCTGGACCTTGGACATGGTAGTTACCTTGCTGTCTATGGGAGGGTCAGAGAGCCCTCATATTTCATCAAAATTATCTTAAATTGTGTTCCAAAGATGAACAAAGGTCTTACGGGTTTGGAACAACACGAGGGTGAGTAATTAATGACTTTTTGGGTGAATTAACCCTTTAATATGAATAATAATTCACCAAATCAGCATATTAGAATTTTTTCTGAAGCATCATGTGTCTCTAAAAACTGTCTCTAAAAACTAGAGTAAAAGCAGCTGAAAATTCAGCTGTCATCACATGAATAAATTTAATTTTAAAATATAGTACAACAGAAAACAGTTTTTAAACTGTAATTATATTTCACAATATTACTGTATTTTTCATCCAATAAATGCAGTCTTGGTGAGCATAAGAGACTATCAAAAACATTTAAAAAAATAAATAAATAAATATACATTTATATATATATATCTTTTAATTGGGTAGAATTAGGATTTCAGCCTAATTACCAGAAATATCTAACGGCCGGGTGATATTGACGCATGACCTAATGAGATTTAAGCATGAGTCTTTTCTTTAACTGGGATGCGTGTGAGGCCAGACAGACTATGATGATCACCACCTATAAGGCTGCAGCACTAATTCTTTAATAAAACCACATGACATCATCCTGTACCGAATCGCAGGATGAGTCGGTTCTCTGGGAGTGAGTGTGTGTCACGCACCTCTTGGGGAAGTTCCAGCTTGGTGCGGTCATCCTGGCCGTTGGAGTGCAGACCCATGAGGTAGGGCACAGGAGCGTCCAGGAAGTGGAGCAGTGAAGCGGGCAGGATAGGCACGTACACATGCTGCCATTGGAAGGGGAACATTAAGGCTGTGATGCTCTCCGCTACCGTCATCAGCCGCTGGTAATCTGGACAGAGACAAATTCAGACACGTCACTCAGTGTGCATGCTTTATTAATCCGTTAACATGAGCGCGGAAAAAATAGTAATGTGAACCTGGCATTATGTGTTTGCGCTGCGAGTGTGCAAGAGAGCGCGCGAGCGCGCGAGCGCTGAATGGATAAACACTGGCAAGAATTAAAAAGAAATGCAATTTATTAACTTTAGTGACGATGTGACACTGCCTCGACTGTGCAAGTGACAATTCCTGTGTCAACTGTGCAGCGTGCAGTTCGACAATAAACAGACGCGATGTGGTGATTTGAAGCCATTTGTGTATTTTGAGAGCGCGGTGATTCACTCAGGCCATTTGTGAAATTACGTCTCACACAAGGTTTTCAAATTACTTTATAAGTTATTTAATGAAGAAATATGAAGCTGAGTACCTTATTATCTATATTCATTATAATTACTTCACCCGCACCGGACAGAGACTGAGACAGTGCCGCGGCATGTCGTGCCAAACCTCTTACGGTAGCGTCATCAGCTTGAGATCGTTTTTTTGAGATCGGCCTTTTAGAGACCGCCAATCAATCATTCCAACGTGATTATCGGCCGATAGTGATCGGTGGCCGATCAATCGGAGCACCCCTAAAAATAACCCATAGCAGATCTATACAGGTGGAGCTAGGGAAGGTGG